TGGGTAAAAAGGCCTTTGCTTACTCTGCTCCCTTTACATGGAATTTGCTGCAAAATAACATGAAACTTAGTAAATTGGTTCCTTTGAATACTTTTAAGTTGAGAATTAGATGTTTTGAGTTAGACTCCCTCACATGTCAATGTTTTAATTGAAATTTTATTGTAAGTGCATATTTGGCTTTTATGTGTGTGTCTTTTATACATATGTAATGATGTGATGTAATTTTGATGCCTATCTTGGCCAGGTCTCCCTTGCAAAAGAGATTTTTAATCTCAATGGGTATTACCTGGTTAAATAAAGGATAAATAAAATAAAATAAAAAATTGAAGAGCCTGCAAGAAGAGTCATGTAACTTAGTGCATTTGGATTTCCCCAGTGCACTTTTCTAATTGCATGAGTAAAAAAATGCATATGTGTCTTGGAGGGAGAATGGAGCATTTAGATCCACAGAGAGCATGAATTGCGCAAGTCAACAGGAATAAAATGTGACCTTGCATCTGACAAGGAGAAAATATGAGGAGAAAGTGAATCTCTACAACACTACTTTAGAAATAGAAAAGAGGAGTTCAATTCTGCAGCAACTGAACGTTTGACTGTTAGATATGGATCAAAAACAATACAGACAAGAAACACACATCTATAAACTCTAATACTGGACATAGTTTCAATTTGTACAGCATATAGTTTCTTTTCGGATGTCATGTGGTCTTGTTCAATATAATTTTTTGTAAAACTTATCAAACTTACTGACATTTTGTCCAATTTTTTTATGTAAGAGCAACCAACTTTAACATGTGTGTTTTTTTATTTTTTTATTTTATGTGACTGACAAAATAGCTCATAATTTGAAGAATAATAAAAACAATCCTTGGTTTTTAATATTTTTATAATTAAACTACCTTATACTTTGATACTTTTAAACAAAATGCAGGGCAGCCAAGGATTAAAACGCCTTAGTAATTAATATAGATATTTTTTCAGTAATTTATTCTCAGTATAATCTGTTCTGTGAAGACCTCAAGGGTTTGTTGGAGAACATTAAGTGGAGAAGCATCATTTTTAAGACCAGGTAACATATTACACAGTCGATGGATAAAGTTGTGGAGAAATGTAAACCATGGTTAGGGTAGAGTGGTAGGGAGATTCACCAGTTTCTGTTTTTAAATCAGCTTTTTTTCACAATTGCACTACGTTACGTTAGCCTATTACATAACATTGAAATATACACTACAGTATGTGTCAGGAGGAAAATGTTCACTGGGGTACAGTAGAAGTAGTTTTACAAGAAAATATAGTTTGAAAAAATCTCTGCAAATGTTGCTCTATTACTCCCGAGAACTTCCAGCTGACATTTTATCTGGAAATTAATTATATTTGTTGTATTAAAACAAACTCTTAAGAGATTATCAGAGCATTTTATGTACTTCTTCCGAATTCTTGTTGCATTTTTATATTCCTCTGGTAGGTACACACATATCCTTTACAACAGCAGCAGAAAATGTAAATGCAGGATGATTTCTCAACATTTCACGGATATTCATGAGGGCGGGAAGATGCTCTACACAGTGCTCATAATCTAGCGACTTCTAACTCAGGGGACGACTACAAGCCAGGGCCAATATAGGCAGAAGGAGGCTGATGTTGGCATTATAATGGTGAGCTCTTTTCCCTCTTGGACGGGAGCCCGGCTGACAGTCAAACGTCATTATGAGCCAGTGGTCATGCCGTTTGTCACTGTCATGACATCCAAATGGAGACTTTGTTTTCAAGATTTGTAAAGATTTATGACATTCTGGGCAGGATTTAAGCAACCATGTGCAACAAAGTCATTTTGTCTGATTCAAAGCCACACTGAAAAACGGCATATTCAGCTGGTTGTGGGCTTTGCTATTTCCTCTGAGCCAATTTAGGCTCTATGAAATGAGACATTGTATTATCTTTCCTTTTTTCTTTCTATCTACTGATGTGCGGGAACATCGATGGCATATGAAGTATTTTATTTTCATCAGAATGAATTGTGACATTCTCATCATTATTACTGTCTCCACCTTTGAACTCTATGCCTAAAATCATTTGCAAATGTGTTAAAAGGAAAAATCCTAATCTATGCCCAAGGTATGAATACACCAAATGCCCTTGTTACATTCCTTAAATGTAACAACGCCTATTTGATATGGTGGTGATGATCTTGGAATAAGTTTCCTTACATTGTTATTTAGTAGAAAACCCTTTAAACATTTTCAGATTTTTGTGCAAAGCACAATTATTATTATCAACAATTCTATTCAAAATAACCAATTCGGGGCAAGACCTGATCATGAGGAGTTAAAGTCAATAATTTGCTGAAGTGGAAATCAATAACATTGATTAACGCAACCTAATGTTGTGCTAATAAACCAACACAATGGAGTGATGGTTGGAGAGACTGCATAATGAGCAGTTTAATTGACAACAAAGAAAGTACTTGCTGTAATACAGTTTAGCAATCATTTAAGTCACACATTTATCTTTAAGTAATAACAATAGAAAAAAACATAAGTATTTGTGCTGCGGGTGTGCTAAGGCTGATCACCACAAAACAGAGGCAGCCGGTGATGCTACTGTTTAGCATCAGAGGAGCTTTTGCAGCTGAGATAATAGCGAAACAATTTAGAACATTTAGATGGTTTTTGGGACATTCTTTATGCAGTTTAGCGATAGAACATAATGCAAAACACAATCAAAAAAGAACTGCACTTAAGTTATAGGATTTCAGTCAATTTAAATCCATTTATTATTTTAGCAACATGTGTCATCTCATGGCACCTTACAGAGAAAGTTCAATCAGATCATACAAAAAGATTGGGCAGAAGTTTTCTATTACACAAAAGTAAATTGACTCTTTAAAAAAATGACAGCATCAAGCTCAGAGGCGTGTTCTCACTGAATCAGGTAGAATCAGGTTTAAAGCAAAGGGAAAAAAAAAGGAAAAAAAACCCCACTAGAAATAAACAATATGTACACTGCCCAGAAACAACCTCTTAATGTACTCTGTGCTTGTGAAGAGTGGAGGACATCCAACAGGCCAGTCAGCTGCTTGGCTGCAGCTCTATGTCTAAAGTCCTGGCCAACTGTCTGCTCAGACTTGTGCATGCAAGTAGCATTGCAGAGGTTCGGACCGATGCTTCTCCCTCAGGATAGTGGAAACTGCTGCCGATTTGAAAAGAGACACCATCTTATTGAATCTATAATTATCTTACCGGTAAATTATTTTTTAAAATAAGCTAAGGAAGCCAAGTTATGTATTTTTATTTATGTTCACTGGATATCCAAACAGCAGAATAAACTATTTTGGATCCTTGCATTCAAAAAGTCTTTAACTCAGTCAGCGATGCAAAGACTTCCACACATGTGTCCCCCAATTCAGCCAGTTGAAAGCTGCAGGCAAAGAAGAATAATTCTGCTCTACTCATGCTTTCAATACTCTATTTTGGCTGTGACTCTTTCCTCCTGGGAGCTCCCATTAAAAATATTTAATATGCAATGCATTAAGGAATTCAGAGTTTTGCTGTGTGGTTCAGTTCTTTTTTTACTCCTTCCATGGCTGCACTCAACACTACAGTGACCCATTCTTCAATCTTTCACATTACTGCTCATTAATCTTGTCAAATTAGCTCAAACTTTATCAGGTTGGATGTAAAGCCTATGTAAACATACATTTTCAGTTTTTTTAATTAGACCAAGATTATCCAATGCATAAATATGATTCAAACCATTCCATTATATCCCCAACTGTTTGTTTAGGGGAGATGTTCCACTAAATGGTGAATCTTCATCAAAGTGTTGAGTCTTTTGACTGTTCTTTGTTTACCACTAATTATTTCCCTGTTACATCTAAATAGACTAATTAGTAAAAAAGCATGTCTGTGCACAATACTGCCACTTTCACTGTAAGAACAGCTGAAAAAAACAATGCAACTGCTTTAGGCATTTACTTAATCATATTTAGTTGCTTTAACACAATTATTTTATGTATATATATATATATATATATATATATATATATATATATATATATATATATATATATATATATATATATATATATATATATATATATATATATATATATATATATATATATATATATATATATATATATATATATATATATATATATATAAAACTGTAACTGGAGCTTGTAACAAAACTAATTTCCCTCTGGGATTATTAAAGTATTTCTGATTCCGCTTTATGTCCTACCTTGCTAACATGAAACAATTGTGTTAAAGTAACTATATGATTAGGTAAATGCCAAAAGTGATTGGATTAGTTTGTCCAGTGATGAACAGCATTTCTACCACATATTGCATTATGAATTTAGACTTAATAGTATAAATTTGTCTCATCAAACCAGAATACTTTGTTGCATGATGTTTGGTAAGTATGATGGGGATTTAATCTCTGGTTTTCTTCTTGCCTGTCCTTCATAATGACCAGATTTGTGGAGAATTTAACTAAAGAGTTATACTAACTGATTCTCCAAACTGGTGATCTCTAGAGTGAGAGCTACCGTGGGCCTCTGCTTTTCTCACAGACTTGCTCCTTACCCAGCCAGTTAGTTTAGATGGCAGTCTGTTTCTGTGATAAACTCACATGATGGATGGAACAGCGCTCTGTTTAATTTGGAAACCCTTGGACACTTTTTCATAAACTTAGCCTGCGTGTAACTTCTCCAGTACTTTAATATATACAGAGTATTGTATTGGTCTAAAAATCTGAAAAGAAATGTAATATGAAATCAAAGCAGCATTAGATGGGCTGTGTGACTTCACTATGTTTCCACATGCCAAGATTCACCGACACTAGAACCATCCCCTCAGCAGCAAATGTTCAACACTCAGCAGGGTAATATTTGGGTATCTGCGGGAACAGTGTGCGCCTCGCTTTTTCAGTGAGAACGGCTTCCCGCAGCGCCCTCTGCTGGACCCCACACCCCCCTCCCCCCTTTATAAATTGCTCTGGATGCCTCGATAGGCGTGCAGTCAGTGAAAAAGACGCGTTCGCTCCTTCTAGGGGAGCGCACAGCTTTGCAAGCAATCCAGTGGAGCGAGAGAGAGATAGAGGGAAAAAAAAGTCTTCGGGTTGTTGCACTTTCAAATGAGTTCTTTAAACCTCCTCTAATATGCTGGCATAGATAACAGATTTTCGTGTGGCAGTTTTGGAACAGTTTATGGGACTAAGTGCGTAAAAGGGGGCAAGAGAAGCAGCCAGTCTGAGCCCATAATGCGGACACATCAAGTCCGCGGCGCAGCGGACCCTAAGAAGCTGCTTTCATGGATCCACTAACTGATTGATTGGCTCTAATATATTTTTATTTGTTTATCCAGATCTAAGGGAATTCTTTCGACTTCCTCAGTAAGAAGCAAAGGATTTTGGATTTTTATCTTTTTGGGCGTCGAGGATTTTTGTTATTTCTTAGGGGATGCGTATTAGTTTTGGGTTAAATTAGGATATTTATTCTGTTTTTGTCCTCCAAGTAAGACTTTGCCAAGAAACTGTGGAAGGAAATTAAACTTTCAATCGCTGGAGATATTTGTCTAATTGGAGTCTTAATCGTCTCAACATGAAGTCTGGCACACTACGGATGCGCGTCTGTATTTTCCTTGTGCTCATAGGTAAGAAGTGGAACATTATGCTGATATTGTGATATATATCTGTGTGCTTTTATTTCTTCAATGAATAATGAAAGCCTAAGAAATGTAAGGGAATGCTGTTTTGAAATGCGACCACTTTTATTTCGTAGATTTGTTTTATCAGACTAAAGTTAATGTGTTCATTGCATTAATAAAGTTCTAATGGTTAAAGCTGATTGACTTAGTTACATAATGAATTATAGCAAAACATTATCAGAACGAATGTATTCATCAGAAGGTAAATGTAGGCGACTTATCTTGGACATAAAAACCCATACTTTTATGAAAATAAACATGATAATTTCTGTCACAGTGAATCTCATGTGTAGATTCTTAGTAAAATATAAATTTTTTTATCCAGTTAATTTTAATCTAAGTTCACATTCATTTCTTATAAAGACAATATTAATAAACTGAGTATCTACCACCTCCAAAATATTTACAATTTACATAAAAATTGCGTGCGCTGATTACAAAGCTACAAACTGACATATTTTTTTTTCTATTGAACTTTTATATAACATAGCCTTTGCACACATAATCGATACAGCACACCCTTTGCTCTTGGTTGATCAATTCACAATGTCATCACAAGGGGTCTCTCTTGTCATTTCACCAAAGCAGTGTAGACGTTTGCATGTACTGGTGGTTTCGCATCCTGGACATTGTAAAAGTAGCATTCTTTGCTCAGAAGATTAATTGTAAACCTAATTTTCTGCTTATTTGGTTTCAAAATGAGAGAAATTGTTAACCAGACATCAGATCAAGTGATATTTCAACCTTTCTGGGTCTCTTATTATAATTTAAAAGTCTTAGGGAACTATAAAGTCTACAGTTGAGGTAGCAGGGACACTCACCGAAATGAATATCAAAAATCCATTTATTACAGCCATACAGAGCGGAATGTCAAAAGCTATTACGTTCTTTATAATTAGCTTTTTTTTTTTGCTTATTACAAAAATATAATCTCAAACTTGATTAAATGTATACAGAAGTGGTTGCATTTTATTTTAAAAGAAAATCAGTTAGGGAGGTGATAATAGACCCTGTATCTTGACATGCGATTTAAGTATGATCATAATTCTTGAATTATCAAATGCACAAACGTATGTAATTGTATGTTCCTTCGTTCTAGGTTCGTTGGAAGGTTCCTCTGCTTTCATAGCGCCCATGGCCAACATATCTCTAGGATTTCCAAGCACCAGGTCTGCACGTGAGGCCCAGTCACAGTGGGTAGACTGCATCCAGGCCAGTGAATTGTGCACCAACGATCCTCACTGCAGCCCCTGGTATCGGGTGATGCGCCAGTGCCTCGTGGGCAAGGAGAAGGATGCCATGCTGGATAACAACCGAGACTGCAAGACTGCGGTGGAAGTTCTGCATAAAAGTTCCCTGTATTACTGCCGTTGCAAAAGGGCTATGAAGAACGAGCTGCAGTGCCTACAGAACTACTGGACCATTCACATGGGACTCAATGAAGGTAGGGAGCAGATAATAATAGATGCCTTAAAAAACATGTAATGGTAATTATAGTGCGATTCCAACATTGTCTAAAACTAGCTCTTGCTTAAAAGACTAAATCCTTTACCTTTCACCTCATTGCCTGCATCCTCCTGTCTGTGTGACTTATCATCATATATTTACAGATGCAGTGAATGGCTTTAAATGAGCCCAACAGTAAAGTACAAATAACATGCCTACAAAAGACAGGCGTGATGCTGCAGTAAATTATCTGGGAATATACATGCATAATGCACATCAGACAAATTGACAAGTCATTTATAATGAGCATATTTTTGTATCTGAGCAGTAGTCTCAGACTCACATCCTCAAGGGCCAGTGTCCTGCAACTTTTAGATGTGTCCCTTACCTCACACACTGAAAGAAAATGTTTGAACTGCCTCACTGGAATGCAATAAAGCCCTACAGATATCTGCTAATAAAGGTGTAGTAAAGTGACCAGGTTTGTTAAAGTAGAGAGACATCTAAATGTTGAAGGACAACGACCCTTGAGGCCTGCATTTGGAGACCACTGCACTAAAACATCTCCTCAACATCATTTTGGGTTTTGAGGAAGTAAAGCATGATGTACTCTCTTATGTCCTCTTATAGAGCTACCAAGAGGCCATCCAATGAAAGAAAAAAAAACACATGCTTTTCCACTTTCCTCTGGTTCAAATGGAGGTGTAATGGGATTACATTAGGCGGGCTTGTTATTGTTTTTCACCTAAAGTGTTCCATTTTACCTTGTAATTAGGTTAGGGCTGTAGAGGAACGTGGTCCTTATGTGTCCACTTAACCAGTACAGAGGATTGCATCCTTCAAACATTGTAAACCTTCTGTTTTTTTGTGTGTGTTTTTTTTTTTTTATCCCTGCCATTTATTTAAGAGAACGTGGCAGCTGGAACATGTAATACTGCAGATATGCAGATGTTTTTGTATTTATATCTTGATGGATGACCTATTGCCTATTAAGTTCCTTTAATCTATGCAGTTACTGCAAATTTGCTGGCTGCACATCTTTGATGAGAAGTTCCACTTCCTCCCAAAGATACTCTATTCTATTAAGTTCTGATAGCCATGAAGACCAGTTGTTACAAGTTTATAATAGCCTAAGCTCTGTGTAATGATTCAGTGGAGTAAGTCATCACAAGATGGTGGGTCTGTGCACATAAAGAGATGAACATGGTCAGCTGCATTACTGAAGCTGTGGTGTTACCTGTTGTGTCTTGACGATACTCAGTCAGTTCTAAAACAACCTATTGTTTTATATTTATAGATGGTGTCCTGGCCACCGAGATTTTAGAATGTTCATTTGTGCTCTGTTGCCTTTCTGTCATCTCAAATCAATTTACCCATTCTCCCTTGACCTCTGAGTCATTTCCTAACACATAACTGTCACTCACTGGATATTTTCTCTTTTTTGAACCAACCTCTGTCATAGATCAGAGGTTTTCAAAAGTCCAATGCATCTGGTATGAGTAACCCTGGCATATTCATGTCCCTTAAACACTCTCTCTTCCTCATGCCGATTTGGTTTGAACTGCATCTCAGCATCTCACCTCAAATTACATTGCGTCGTTGCTATGTACTTGGTGGATTTGGTATAGGTGTTAACATATTGAAGTAGCTCATAAAGTGGCCAGCAAATCTATATCCAGACACAGAGACCTAAAACTTGCAGATGTAGAAGAGACCCTAATACAAGAGTGGCATTTATGTAATGTGTGTATGCGTGTGGTCTGAATGTCTGTGATTGGTATCAAGTCATGCTGTCAATTTGGATGACACAATGCACTCAGCTGTTTTGACACAAGGGGTAATGGTTGAAATGTCGCAGACCCCCTGAGTGTTCTGGACTCATGTTTGCTGATCCGTGAAATGATTCACCAGGCTGATTGCTCATAGCACCAGTTACACTTCGCAAAGCAAAGAGAGTGACATGGATGCTCCGCGGGCCTTCTGTCTTTCATATCTTCCCCTTCATTTCTTACTCTTAGTAATGACCAGTAAGTTCTTCCTTCAAACTCTCTTATCCCTTCCTTTAACATGGATGGCAGTAGTTGGAGCATATGATTGTGTTGTGAAAAGCTCCAAATCTGTCAAGCAACTTTAGGTACTACACATTCTTTTTTTAGGGGAATTCCTCTGCACTGCCCTGCTTTAGTCTTTAGTGATAACACCCACTTAACACTATACTGTAAAATAAGCAGGTTTGGGTTGGTGGACGTTTTTTTCAAACCTACAGCAAATAATTAATGTTTGCAGAACCTTGTAAATAGTATTTACTCAATTCAATACATTTACATTAAAAATTTCTTTATTAATCCCAAAAAAGAAATTAACTCGCAAAGAAAATGGTTTAGATTTAGTTGGGATACAAGACCTTAATTCTGAAACAAGTGGTGCTTAAAGCAGATTTAAATCAGTTTAAAGCTCTTTGTAGTTGTGATTTCTGTAAAACAAAACAATGAAATTAAGAACTGTGGGTGTTTTTATGACCCGTCTCAAAGTTTAGACATATGAACCAACTAGAATGATATTAAGTTTTGTTTACACCTGATCTTATCTTGTCAACTTGTGTGTTGTAATCCTTGTTGGACAGCTCATCCTAACAGATTTTGAAATGTGTTTGAAGTTAGCACTTAAAATGGGAACACAGTTACTTCCGCTTCTGGCTAAAAAAACACAAGCAAGCATAAGTTCCAATGAACTCTTATTGCTTTGCCCTGTGGAAATTAATTTCTTCAGAGCACCCAGCTCCACAGTACTTTAATTACTGGAACATTTTAAATCATAAGAATATTAGCAAAAAGTTAATTTCTTTTAGTTATTTAGTGTTAAAGGAAAACTCATATTTCTTAAGTTGTTCCACACTGAGTGATATCTTTCAGGCATTTATTTCTATTAATTGTGATGGTTGTGTCATAGAGCTAATGAAAATTAGAGTTTAGTTTGGAAAACCAATGAAAGAACAAATTTAACAATGGAATGCATTTATATGGAAATGTCATGGCTTTCAAAAATCATCCTGACTTGTCAGTTGTTCAGCTGAAAGACACAGAACCCAGCTCCAGAGATTCAGTAGCCGCTATAATGTTCTTTGTGTTACAACACTCTTGAACCAGAGTGGAGGCACTGTTAAAAGCCTGGTACACAAACTAGTTGGCAGCCATACAATGCCTTATTAATATAAGATGGATAAGGTTTATAAGATAAAAGTATATAAGATAAAAGTAAAAGTGGATCCTCTGCCGGATTTTTAAGACAGAGGATCCACTTTTTTTAGGTAAAGCGTGAAGTTAACAGCTCCACAAATTCATGTGCCTGAATTATATGGTGTAAAAAATGTCAAATTTAAAGCGCACATCCTTATTATAGATCTCATAATAATAACCCATGCATCCCTCAGATAAAGTCACTACTTCAGAAATTAGACTTTAATTAAGCAAGATATGTTTTAGCATTTTACTTTGCTAGATCTTATTCATGATGTTTACAGCCCGGTCTTCAGTTTGGAGGGTTTTTTTTTTTAATCAACTCACTACAGTACAGTTTAGATAAGACAAAATTTATAATCTAGCTATGCTTCACAGACCAATTTTACCTCTGAAACAATGGAAAAAGCAATTATTCTATGGCAATGTTCATAATAAAAGTTACAAACATGAAAAAATGATAAAAAGGCAATCTTTGAATTTATAGGATTTCATAATGATTCCCTTATAATGCTGATAAGAGTGTTATAATAAAGTAAAACATTTTCCTTCTCATATTATTTTCCTGACATTATTCAAAATCTTAAATGAATTATAAAGCATGACTTTCTCAGATTTACTTTAATCCAGCTTACTTACACTGTTGATTTTAAGCACATCCTCATACAGAGAAAATAATGATGTGTGAAGAGCAGAGTTCTTGTCTCTGTTAGATTTAATTTGACGCCAAAAGAAAACATGGGATGGGGTAAAGCTCATCCATTAAACCTTTTTGTTACATAAACTGCGTGACATGTGATTCTCACTGCTCTTTCGGTCTGATAACTGAAAATGTCACACATATTTAAAGGCAATTTCAAGTCTGCTTAATGTCTTAAAAGTCAAGTAGCACCACATTTAGTGCAAAGTGCCCTGGTGGAAAGGCTCTTGAGCTTCACATGACATTCATACTTTAACAGCGGACAAAGTTGCTGGATATTTAAGGTCTGATATACGTTCTTTAGCAAATTTGACACTATAGAATATGTTAAAACCCTAAGTCACTACTGAGATTACTTTCTCCTAAGTCTCCACCTGGCCTCAGCAGACTCAACCCACCCAGGTTTGTTATCTCTAAGCCTATATTATTTCACTGTTTTCATCTTCGGTCCCCATCCTCTTCAACAGGCAGGTGAACAATATAGCAGCTGACATCGTACATTAACCTTCTGTCTCCTCAATTCTCCTGTCCGATTAACCATTGGAATACTGTTCAGTAATTTTTATTGACCATTACAGTTGACTTGGATGGTGTTTAAATTTTGACTATAGGTAACCTTTAAAATACCTCATATTCTATTCTATAGAACACAGACATATGACATATGACAGTTCACACCAAAGATTGCTTTCAGGAGGTAGATGACTGAGAAAGTGCTGACTAGGAGTTTACTGAAGTATAAATATATTTTATTTGCAAGCCTAAAGCAAGAAAAGAAATAACCTAATAGCTGAAATATATAGGCAAAATATACAAAATTTAAAAAATCAACAATCCTTCTTTCAAACATCAAAACCCCTTTAAATTTTATTTCAGCTGGCCTGTAATGTTTGGGATGGAAGGATGCTAAACTTAGCTCCTAAACCTATGATTTCCTTGGGACACCAGCCTTCTCTCTTTTATGAGGAAGCTGCTGGTTACATTTTTGGATCTTGCATAAAGCTTAACCTTTCTAACTTTTTTTTAGCAGCAGTTCTGAGACACCACCTTCCTCTAAGCGAT